GGCGGAGGTTGCGGTGAGCCGAGATCGCGCCATTGCACTCCAGCCTGGGTAACAAGAGCGAAACTCCGTCTCAAAAAAATAAATAAATAAAATAAAAAAGGAAGAAAAAGTTTATAAAATAAAGATATAAAGAAAGAAAATATTTTTCATAACCATCCAACAGTGTCCAAAGTTGTTCAACAATGTGTCTTTTAAGCTAAGTTTTATTGCAAAAGAGTCAAAAAGTTTAAAACAATTTAAAAGTTTATAAAGTAAAAAATGTAAAGTATACTAAAGTTAATTTGTTATTGAACAAAGAAGAATATTTTTAATAAATTAGTGTAGCCTAAGACACAGTGTTTATAAAGCCTAGAGTATTTGTACGGTGAGGTCTTGGATCTTCACATTCACTCACTCCTCACCCACTGACTCACCGAGAGCACCTTAACGGTGTTGGTAAGCTCCATTCGTAATAAGTGCTCTATATAGGAGTACCATTCTTCATCTGTCATGCCATATTTTTACTGTATCTTTTCTGTATATAGATATATTTAGATACACAAATACTTAACGTAAATACATCAATTTCCCACACTATTCATTGCAGTAATGTGGTGTACATGTTTGTAACTGGGAGCAGTGGGCTTTATCATATAGCCTAGGTATGTGGTGTGGTGTTCACACAAAAACTAAATTGCCTGAAGACACATTTCTCAGAACATATCTCTGTCATGAAGTAGTGCATGCCTATATTTGTGACTCATAAACTGTTAATCTTATCTGTCCAGTGTTGGATCTTATATGTTTGGCCATTTCTATAACCCTAGGGCAAGAATCCCTCCTTCAGCAGCTGGGTGAAGAGGAGGCAACAACCTCATAAAGTTTTTCCTTCTTCGCCTGTAATCCCAGCACTTTGGGAGGCCGAGGTGGGCAGATCACCCGAGGTCAGGAGTTTGACACCAGCTTGACCAACGTGGAGAAACCCCTTCTCTACTAAAAATACAGAATTAGCCGGGCATGGTGGCTTGCACCTGTAATCCCAGCTACATGGGAGGCTGAGGCAGGAGAATCACTTGAACCAGGGAGGCAGCGGTTGCAGTGAGCTGAGATCTTACCATTGCACTCCATCCTGGGCAAAAAGAGTAAAACTCCATCTCAAAAAAAAGTTTTTCCTTCTTTTCAGTAGCAGTGATCTGAAGAACATTGTTGTCAGTATCTAAAAAATATAGTGCCTTGGCTATTTTTGACTTAGCAAAAATCATTTCTATGAAACTTTCTTGTTGCCAAGGCTGGAGTGCAATGATGCGATCTCAGCTCACTACAACCTCCACCTCCTGGGTTCAAGCGAACCTCCCTCAGCCTCCCAAGTAGCTGGGATTACAGGCATGCGCCATCGCGCCCAGCTAATTTTTTATATTTTTAGTAGAGATGGGGTTTCACCGTTTTGGTCAGGTTGGTCTCGAACTCCTGACCTCAAGTGATCCACCTGCCTTGGCCTCCCAAAGTGCTGGGATTATAGGTGTGAGCCACTGTGCCCAGCCCCTTTACTGTTTTTAAACCTTAGTATCTTAGTCCTTAGGAGAAAGCACGTTGTCACCCAGACAGCTCTTAAGCAGTTTACAAAAGTGATTCAATGTGGGTTCATTTGCCTGGGGTTGACATAGAAAAACATCTCTGAGGTCATGATATCCTCCCTTTTGTGTGCTGCAGACGAATCTTGAACATGATGTCTATGAAAGACTTACCAACCTACAGGAAGGGATTATCCCAAAGAAAAAAGCAGCAACTGATGATGATCTCCACCGAATAAATGAACTGATACAGGTTTGAATGAGCCCCTTCCCTTCTGATCATCCACTTTATGAAGTTGCCTTCTATAAAATCCTACTTCTTCCGTTTCCCCGTGTCCCTCATATCTTCAGTAAAAACATGTGTTTCAGCCTGCACTACTGAGAAACAAGAAGACATTTTCTCTCTGTGGAAGCCTCCACATAGCCTCTGCCCAAAGGCAAGCAGTTTTTTAAAAGCTGTACTATCCTCATGGTCATTGATTAATGATGTAATGTCTTCTGTTTCAGGGAAATATGCAGAGATGTAAACTTGTGATGGATCAAATCAGTGAAGCCAGAGACTCCATGCTTAAGGTTTTAGATCATAAAGACCGCGTCCTGAAGCTTCTTAACAAGAATGGGACTGTCAAAAAAGTGTCAAAATTGAAGCGAAAGGAAAAAGCCTAGACCCAGAAGAATCAGGAGATTGGAAGCAGAATTTATGAAGAATGATAGTGGGGGTGGGGGGAGGGTTTTGGTTATTTCCAAAGTGGAACATTGAAACAAAGGAAGTGTTCCTTCATTCACATGTGAAAGAGAGGGACCCATGGCATCCAGTGGCATGAAAAGATCAGAGCTGTCTGGACACAGTGAGCCACCTTCTTGCGTTCAGGTGCACCCCTGTTAAATCCGCCCTGTGTCCTAAGTGACTTCGGATGCGTTAGTGTCCACCAGTTGGAAGCAATGACAAGGATGGCTGGCTGATGTTTTTCAGCCGTCCAGTTTATAGACTGTATTTATATAGTGGATTCCTGCAGGCCCCATACCGAGCCTGGACTGAAAGCATCCACTCGGACCATCTGTTATCTCTCTACACTGAAAATGAAACCTCTTCCACCCACCCCATTCGGTTCTTCTGCCTGACCTTCAAATGCCCATGTTGGCCTTTTACAGCAGTGCCATGGCACCAAGCGAGCTGCCACATCTCACACTCTAAAGGGTTTGAACTATTAGTTCTTGTCATTTTTTAAAAGAACCATTCCCATGTGAAATTGTTAGATCGTCTGTCTTGCGTGTGTCAAAATTGGGTTTTTGTGGAGGTTCAGAGCAGGCAACACCATAAGTTGCTCTCAGATCCTTGTTCTGAAGTACAATCTTGATTATCTGTACTTCTGTAGCTGGTGTGATGCTGTTAATTGTATGTACCACACATCTCCAGACGTTAATAAAGGACTCAGAGGTTTTTGTACATGCGCAGTTTGCATCTTCTTGTAAAGTGAATCAGTGCCACACTGACCTTCACTGAAACGTTTACTGTGCTTTGGTTTCTTACATATTGTTGGGATCCTACTTCGTTGGTTGAAGTTTTGCTGTTCGCATAGAGTTCCACTTATCAGGGTAGTCTGAATATGCTACAGTGGTAAAATCTATTGGATTTTTGGCTACCTTAAATATGAGCCTGTATTGTGGCCCTGTGCGGATATGTAATTGGAAATTGCTTCAATTATAAGACTGTTAAGGCTGCCGTACTGGAGGCGGAGCTTTTGGGCAGCTGGATCCTGTCCATAGGTTGCTCTTCCTCTGAACTAACCTGAGTAGAAAGGTAGCTCAGATTGGCTTCCTGTGGGCACAAGACCAGCCATCTCTGGCCTCCATGTGACAGACCAGGAAAGATTTTTCTCAAAGGCTGCTGCCTCTGCGGACAAGACATGACCACCCTCCTTCCTTAGGACACGTACTTTCAGCCACCAGGTTGGAGCTAGATCTCTTCTTTGTTCTGACCTGAACAGATGGGCAGTGTTCCATTTCTGCCCTGGCCCTTGGAACCAACGCCACGGCTCACCTGAGACAGCCTTCCTCATAGTGGAATGGTAAGCGGTCATCTGTAGGATTGGGGAAGAGAGAAGCAAAGCAGACTTTTGGCCTTCCTGCAGTTAGGCCACCCAGGCCTGCAGAGCCTAGGCTAAAGACAGCCTGGGTGTAATTGAGACTGTGTGACTGGAGTATTTCATGAAAATATGGAGAACACTTTAAAAGGCTTTACCAGTTGTTTATGAGGCGCCAATCTAGTGTGACTCCTGGAATAGTGTTCCTTTGCTGGAGTTTCTCATCAGTGCACATGTTGCCTTAGTGATCCCATGTGGTCTTCGGCTAGAGCAGTACAGGATTCAGATATGTGGGATTCTGTATTATAGAACTGTCTCTATGGGTTGTTTTTTGAGATAGGATCTCACTCTGTCACCCACGTTGGAATGCAGTGGCTCAATCATAGCTCACTGCAGCCTCCAACTCCTGGGCTCAAGCGATTTTCCTGCCTCAGTCTCCAGTATCTGGGACTACCAGTACTTGCCAACACACCCAGCTAATTTTTTTTTTTTTT